GGAAGAGGTGTGAATATGATGAAATATGTTGTATGAACTCCTCAAAAAATTCATTAAAACTATTTTTAAAAGATTATAATCCTGGAGACATAAATCAAGTAGTCCTGAATTGTGTTTTGGGGTCTTACAAAATGGTGACTGGGTCTACAGCTTTAAACTACAAGGGAAATGGTAACTATATTACTTGTTAGTCAGACATTATGGTTGGAAACGTGAATGTTTGTTTTGAGAAAAGTGTGTCTTGAAAGACACTCTGGTCTCAGTGCCTGGGTGTTTTGAGGGAAGAGTCCATTGCATATGTGGTGAGAAGAGGTTGACATGCCATCTTTCAGGAAACTGATGTTCTGCTCAGTTTGTCCCAGTAGAAACGTCTGGATATGTGAATGTGCAAAACTTTATCTACTGATGTCTCTAGGGCTCTACTTTCTTCTGTTTTATTGAGAATTTCACACATGCATATAAGGTGTCTCCACCAAATCCACCCTCACACTCCTACTCTCAAGGCTCTGTTCTAAGTTCCCTAACTAACACTAAGGCATTCTGAATCACTGTCTTGATAACTACTATAATGCCCTATAGCATTCTCCCCAAATGTGCAAATTTAAAATGCTACATACAGTAAAATTCCAACAGTGATTTGGGGATGAATGCAGAAATATAATCATAAATAAATATAAAAGCTCTCTAAAGCAGATTAATTCCAATATATAGTATGAGCTCTTATAAAATAGAAACAATCAAGATACTAACAGATAAACAGTCAGATCAACAGACAACATGGAGAGTCCCCAAAACATAAAAATATGTAGTGTATCAATGAAAACAAATTTAGAGTTGACAATGAAATAATTTATTCAAAAGTATTATTACAAGGAGAGGAAAGGTTTGGAGGGAATACAGTCAGTGTTCTATGCCTGCAGCTTCCAAATCTACAGATGTAACCACCTTCATTTCAAAGCATTTTTTGTCTATTCTGATGTGAGCAGGTACCTCATTGTAATTATTCTCTCAACAGCATAGAATAACAACTATTTGCCCAGCATTCATGCTGTATTGGGTATTATGAGTCACATGAAGATAGTTTAAAGTGCACAGGAAGGTGTGCACAGGTTCTGTGCCCAAAAACTACACTATGATTTAAGGGACTTGGATTGTATTATCTGAGGAATCCTAGACATGATCTCCCACGGTCACTATGATAAAGGAAGAACACAATTCCCACGAGCCTGATGATCTCACTCTAAGATCGGCAAGTGTCCCAAGAACTAGGCCAACAGGGCTAAAACATTTGCAAGATGGCAGATAAACATTTCCCAGGTGCATTCCCTCCCAGAAACACTAATGTGAACAACTGGAACCTAAGAGAGCAGGGATAAGGTGGATAGATCAAAGTGAGTAGGAAGGAAGGGCGGTGCTACAAAGTCTGTTACCCTTCCTTCATGCCTAGACAATGACAGGATAGCCTGGAGAGAAATGGCCTCCACACAGAAGGGGAATGAAGAGACTGCTTCACTTTCCTGTGGATGCCAACAATGGACCTGCCCCAGTGAGTTCAGTCTTCATGGCTCCAGGTTCCAAACTAGAAACTTAAGACTCATAATCCAGGGCAGCCTCGTGGCTGCAAGCACCAGGCCAGCACATGTGAGAGTCTCTGTTTTTATTGAAATGTTTAGTTCATTTACGTTTGTGTTGTTATATGATTTAATCTTTAATTTCACTGTTTCCACTGTTAAAACTTTTTATTGATTTTTCAATGTATCTGTTGCTCCTTTTAAAAGATTTAAAATGCGTGTGTGATGTGTGTGAGAGTGCATGTGTGTATACTCCATGAGAATGCAGGCACATGTGTGACATGGTATATGTATAAATGTCAGAGTACAGCCTCCGCTGTCAGCCCTTACCCTCCTTATTGTGAGGCAGGGTCACTTGCAGGTTTTTATTTTATTTTATTTTATTTTATTTTATTTGTCTATCTGTCTGTCTGTCTGTCTCTTTTTGTATGCTAGGCTAACTGGCCCGAGAACTTCTGGGAATTCCCATCTCTGCTTCACTGGAATTACACATATTCAATACCATGTCTAGCTTCCATGATTAGGTTCTGGGGAGTTCAGCTCAGCTCCCCATGCTTGCGTAATGAGCTCTTTATTAACTGAACCATATCCCCAGTAAATGTTTTTTTTGTTGTTTTTCTTTTTGTGATACCATTTAACTACTTTTTTTTTTTACTATATTAAAAAATAGTCCATGAATTTAAGAGCGCAAGGAGGCCATATGGAAGTATTTGGAGGGAAAAGAGGGAAAGAGGAAATGACATAATTATACTATAGTCTCCAAAATAAAAGAAATAATTCTGAAAAGTCATTTTCTTTGTGGTTTATCTGAATATTATGGATAACTAATTCTAGTAAAATGCAGCTATTGGGCCCCAATGAAGTTATATTTCCCCTTTGTTCTGTGCTATTTTTAATATGTATGTGATTTCTATCCAACTAACCCCCTTTTATTCACCCACCCATGAATCCATCATTGTGTATAGATATATGATCAAGTACAATAGTAATATAAATGATACTTTATGCACTTGCATAAAAAAAGCAAAGAAGCTAAGAAATTCTGTCTTTAAGCTTCTATCTTATGTAATTATCTTTACATGTGCTTTCTTTTTATCCAGCTCAAAGTCACTGTCTGATATGGTTCCTCTCAGTCTGTTCATCTGGAGCTGTCTTTACTGAAGCACAGTTTGGTCGAGTACAGAGTGCCTGGGACACCTTCTTCAGACTCTGCTTCCGACCTTCATTCTTTTCCATGAAACCTCCCTTCAGAGCAAATGCTAATTTGTTGTTTCCCTATACTTGATGAGTCATTTTTCTCTTGCTTTCAAGAATTTCTTTTTCAGCACTCTGATTATATTTTTAAGGCGTGATTTTATTTTAATTTATTTTAAAGCTTGTTGACTGTGCTGATGGGCAACATAAATGAATCTGACGGGCTTCCAACCTCTGTTTACTTCAGAGCTCTTTCCCCTATCCTGTCTCCTTTCCGGAAGGTTCTGTTCAATTTCTTTTAAATATGTCATTCCAACTGGACAATCTATGTTGATCTGTCCTGCAGCTCACCTCTTTTTCTTCTGCCAACTCAAATCTGCTCTCGGACTCCTCTTGCGGGTGGTTCGTGTATAGCTCTCTTTTTAACCTCAGAATTAAAATTGTTTAATTCAGTCTAACACTTAAAATTGTTTTGTTTTCCAGATCTTTACTGACATTCTCTATTTCACAACCACAGCCATCATACTTTCCTTCTGATATTCAAATGTAGCTTCCTCCAACTCTGCCTGTTTATAGTAGCTATATCGATGTCTTTGCCTCAGGAGTCTGGACGTCTGGTCCCATTACAAAGGTTCTGTTGACTTGCTCTTCTCCTGACTGCCCGTGTTCTAAAGACTGGAAATCCTAGGGCCTGTGCATGCTGCAGCTGCAATGCGCTCTATACTCCACTCCTCCTACTCCTCCAGATTGCTGTTTTTGGCTCCAACTTTTGCTTCTGTTATTAAGACACTCTCTCTGTGCTAATACTCTATGTCAGTCTCCTCTGCCATACACAGCTGAAGATGTGTCTGCTCATGGAAAGGAAAACTGGTTTTCGTTCTTAAGTCTGGCATCCCGTGGATGCACCTAGGAGGCATTTCTTAGAGACCTGTCAACATCTGGGCATGGTTTGTGTTTAACCCTCTTCATCAACTAAGGCTGATGGCTTTGCATTTGAAGTAGTGAGTACATTGACTGCCCGGGGAGTTTAGAGGTCTGCTTTGGCTCCTGATTCCTATTTTTTGGCTTTTGTTTTCTGGATAAGAAATACTCTAATGTCTCCTTTAAGTGTTACATTCAGTTAGAAACAGAGAGTTGCTATTCTAGTTTGTTCAGCTGTAAGAAGATACCAGATAAAGAGCTGAATTTGTTCCCACAGCCCTGTTTGTTTCAAAGTCTCAGATCTAGGCTCTGGCTTCTGGTAGGGGTCTGGCCTCTACTTTCAAGATGGTGACTTGAACTGGATGGACAACCCCAGGGGGGAAAAAAAAAAGCCAGTTCTTCATGCAGCTGTAGCAAACCTAAAACCATTAGGATCTTCATAATGCCATTACTCTGGACATAACCTCCCTCCCCATCAGGCCCCACCTCCCAACATGCTTCCCAGAACATGGAATTTCCAACACAGAAGTTTGGGCACATTTGGACTGCAGCAGGAGGGTGACCCAGTTCTCCAGTCTCTCTGTGTATTTCTTGATATTAATATTTTCCTAGAAAACATAGCTCATAACCCTCTCTAAAATTATTCTTAAATATCTTCTATTTACAATATTCAACGTTTTAAACAATGTTTATAAGATTTTAGGTTTTAAAGCATATTGATATTTGCCGTTTAAAAGCCTGGACTCTTATAAATACACCATTATTGGTGGTAGATCTGGGAAGCTCACAAGCTCCCACAAAGCTGTTTAGACTTAACCTATTCTCATATTCACAATGTGGAGAGCTCAGTCTTTCAGTCTCTCCACGTGCCCAAAGTTTATTCCTCTCCTCTGGTATATTAAACTGTTCTTCCCATTCTTACTACTGTGTATGTCCTAATATCCTCAGAGCCCTTTGAAGCCTATTGAACGGGGAGTCATCCATCTCTCACTGGTATCTCCAGGCTTGACCTATCCCTAGCACAGAGTCATGCACATAGTCGACACTCAGTAGTGTTTGGTTCAGCGGGGCTTTTACCTTGCTGGAAAATTCATCTGTTTTCTCACTTCCCGTTCTCCACATGGGCCAAGAGGCCCAGAGTCTCCAAGGCCTGAGTGTCTCTGACATTCTCCAGCTTGTGCTTGTGAACATGTGCGGATATTAGTCATCTTATGCAGAGCAGGATATATCTGTCACTTCTCCCCATGTGAAACACTCCCTTCAACAAGATTTATTTTAAGAACTGTGTGAGAAGAGACAACTTCACAGGCAACCCTGTGAAAATCCAGTCGTTTGTCAACATGGAAGATTAAATCCCTCATTCCGTCTGACTGTTCTGACCCCTGATCACCAGGGGGCGCTGTGGATCCGGAAGCTCACCCAGTACTTTCGGCTGGCTATAGGGCTGACTACTGTCCTAACCTGCATCCTGCCAATATGGTGAGTGGTGTTGCTATCCAATTGAGAAGTGTGCTGTGTTCATCTTTGACTGTTGCTGATCTTTGACACTCTGAGTGCTTGCTGGCCACTCCGGCCCCGTGTCACTGTCCCTGAAGTGGCCGGGCTCAGCAAGCCCTTTGCTTTTCCCCAGATAAAATCGAATCAATCGTATCAGAGGGCTTCCTCTTTTCAAGGTACACAGAAAGGGAGTAGCGTGTCTTCCTCCCCCACACTCTGGGGCGGCTCAGGTTGGGTGAAAACCGCTAGGGGCCTGAATCTGTGCCGCCACAAGCTGCGCAGAGCTCCGTGCCTCAGCTGGGAGGAATCACACCCCTTCCTCCACACACCCACACTGGGCGTTTCTATAGCAACTTTAGGAGAGGAATTTCCAGGGCTGTAGATCCTGTCACAGTAACCCAGTGCAGGAAGAGAATGTGGTATGTGGAGGGAGCTAAGGACCCAGAGCCCCTAGCGAAGCGGGCAGGGTGAGGCAAATAGCTCCAGACAGCCAGGGAGCTGAGGGGTCAGGAACTCTGGTCCGGTCCCTCCTGGCTTCCAAGCAACAGGCATCTCCGAAGAGGTTCTTGAGCATCTTGTAGATAGTAATTGCACTTCAGAAGTGTTTGCAGGGATTAAATGAGGAGCTTTGCAGGCTTCTCATTGGATCTTTCCTGAGAATCTCCACAGGCCAGACCACAGTTGACTCCAATGGAGCGCTGCTTGTGGGTGTCTGTAGAACAGAAAGGCAATTATACAACTGGATGCCTTCACAAGGAGACAAAAAGACGAGTATCAAAGCATTCTAGCCGTGGAGATGCTGTTTTTTACTTATAATAATGACACTATTTATGATAGAAAATGTTTCTTTTAGCTTTTTTAAGTATCTTTGGACCCCTAAGGACATCTTTCAACAACGCAATGCTCCACATCACACATAAACATTCTTAAAAAAAAAAAGATTTATTTATTTATTATGTATACAGTGTTCTGCTTGCGTGTATGTCTGCAGGCCAGACGAGGCACCATATCTCATTACAGATGGTTGTGAGCCACCATGTGGTTGCTGGGAGTTGAACTCAGGACCTCTGGAAGAGTAGTCAGTGCTCTCAACCTCTGAACCATCTCTCCAGGCCTTGTACATAAACGTTCTAAATCTGAAAATCAGTGTGATTGTCTCTTAATACCCAGATAATGAGCATTAGAGATTTATTCCAGCTGTGAGTCTATATTTCAGGCTTCCTAACCACACAGTCTAGGGAGTAGGCAAAGAGAATGCTTAAAACCCTTTCCCTTGTCAGCAGGAACCGGCAAGGGAGATAGGACCTGTGAATCGTGTCAGCCACCGTTGCTCACTTTCCAGGGTAACAGTCATGCTCTGGGAAACCTACCGAAGGGCTCTGAGGGACAGGACTGGTGTCAGACAGGACTCAAGTGGATGCAGAGCTGAGACCAGGAGGAAGTCCAGTCAAGGACAGAGGCAAAGATGTGGATGCATAGAAGGAGTCAAGGACCTTTCAGGCAGAGCTTTTCCAAGGATGACCCCATTATACCTACACTCCCCCTAAGCCTTCTTCAGTAAGCCTCTGACCTCCTTTCTCTCAAGTGGGTGATAATACTCTCTTGGGCTTCTGAGGGGGGATTAAATAAGTTAAGAAGTCATCTCAGCTCCTGGCACTAACAGATTACATGAAAAACAATTTTAAATGTAGGCACTTCAAACTATGGAAGTTGGGAGTTTATTCATAGGGATAAATCTAAGGGATTATCTGTGGGCATGAGTAGTGATTAGATGAGCAGACAGCTTTGGGACAGTTCTCTAAAAATTCTGTAATAAAACATTAGCTATCAGCTCATACCCAGCTTAAGTGATGCACTCAGAGTCCACCTTCTTGACCTACATTTGGGCTGACTTCCTTCTCACAGTAGAGATGTTAAAACAGAGAGCCAAGCTTTGCACATGGATGTTTCTGGGATAAAGCATTTCCCCATCCCTTCGGCACCATGCGGTATCTATCTATCTATCTATCTATCTATCTATCTATCTATCTATCTATCTATCTATCTATTTTCTTTTATTGAAAACAGATTCTTTTATCATACAATATATCCTGATTACAGTTTCCTGTCCTCCCAGTTACTCCTTGCATCCCTTCCCCTCCAGATCCACTCCTTTTCTGGCTCTCATTTGAAAAGAACATGACAAAATAAATATAATATGATAAAACAAAAACTGTCACATCAAGGCTAGACAAGGCAACCTCACAGAAGGAAAGGAGTCCCCAAGAGCAGACCCGAGAACCAGGGACCCACTTCTTCACACGCTCAGGCGTCCCATAAAAATACTACTAAGCTGAAAGCTATAATTTACACACAGAGGACCCGGTGCTTGCTGCTTCAGTCTCTGTGAGTTCATAAGAACCTTGATGAGTTGAATCAGAGGGACTTATTCTCCTGCCCCTCTGGCTCTTAGACTCTCTCTGCCTCCTCTTCCATAGGATTCCGTGAGCTCTGATGAGAGGGATTTGGTTAGACATCCCATCTAGAGCTGAGCATTCCAAGGACTCTCTCTGCATAAAGTGTCTGGCTGTGGGTCTCTATCTGTTCCTGTTGGCTGCAGAAGGAAGGTTCTCTGATAATGATGATCTATGAGTATAGCAGAATATCACTAGCAGTCATCTTATTGATACATTTTTTTAGACTAGTAGTGTTTGGTGTGGTAATTTACACTACTAGGCATCAAGGAATATGTAGGGAGATAATCTGTCTGCTATCTGGGACTTCAGATAAGTTTGGGATGAGGTATTGAAGGATGGAGCTGCAGGCTTGACACACCCCTGTGGATAGGCCCAGCAGCTGGATGATGCCAACACTGTTGACTCACCTCCTGGTCCCTTGGGGCTCTGTGGACGTTACTGGGTTTCTCCTCTGACTTTCTTTTGCCTCTCACAGAAGACACCTGACAGCTTCTTCAGATATCTCCCTCCAGGCTGCTGTGTCTACTATGTTCATGGGACAGGCAAATGTGTATCCACATGGGACAGCTGTGAAGTGTAACTTGCCCTCCAAATGTTATATAAAAGAGTTCACATGCTGTACGGATTTTGCAGTAAGAAATATTGGGCTCAACTCAGAATACAATAGGAAATGTTGGAACCCATAATCAAGGATAAGGTAAGGATAGAAAATCAGGGGCTGGTGAGAAGATGGCTTCAAAGGTAAAGGTACCTGCTGCCAACACTGAGGACCTGAGTTCGATTCCTAGAATCCACAAAGTGGATGGAAAAAAAACAACTTCTACCAGTTGTACTATAACTGGAACACACATGCCATGGCTCATGTATGAACTTACACACACACACACACACACACACACACACACACCACACACACACACACACACACAGAGAGAGAGAGAGAGAGAGAGAGAGAGAGAGAGAGAGAGAGAGAGAGAGAGAGAGAGAGAGAGTTCATAAAAATTAACAAAAAGAAAATTGGCAAGATGAAACTCAGGAGCAAGGGGAATCCTGGCTAACTTATCTGCTGCAAGCTGAAAAAAATACTATGAAGTAGGATTTCAGCTGTTTATGACGAGCTAACACCTGGAAGAAGCCAAGAGCCTCCCAGAGGTCAAGCTGAGGTTCAGGGAGCGTTGGTGATATTGGCTCTTGAATATTAGCCATTTTCCTGCAGTGAAATTTCTTGCATGCTATCATAGCTTTTTTATTTAATTCCTTTTCTAAGAACCGCATGTTGCTCATTTATTGGGCACCATTTCCCCTCTACAATGGAATAGTTAGATGACCTTCTGTGATGCCAGCTATACACAGCCAGAACCCCAGTTCAAGCCTCCCTACAACTATCATCATTAGCAGCATCCGGCCGGGACCATCCCCGGATGGATGAAAGTGTCTTATCAGAGATACCTCTGTACTCTCTAAGGACAGACTTAAGCATCCAGACTATCTGTTTGAGAAGGCCTGGCAGATGTGATAATTAAGCTTAACATTTTCCCTTTCCAAAGCTCATCTCTAGTTTTAGATCCACCTTTAACTATTAACTCACAACTAAAGGGTTTCTACTTACAGGTACATCAAGCTAACTCAGGCTGCCCAGTCACGAGTGCACTCCCTTGCCCTGCCAGAAAACCACAGGAGCCAAGATAGCTTGGACAGATAAGAAAATAAAGGGCCAAAGGAAAATAAGGCAGTTTTATTTTCACTCGTCACTGATAGACTCCTAACACTTTAACCATTTCTAAGAACATATTTGAGCACATAAAATCCCCCTTGCTCAGAAATCAACCAAATTCAGCCCTCAGTTGATTCTATTCCACATTAGTCACTTCCCTTTTGGGTTGCAGATGATGGCTGGCAGTAACTGTTCTTTTGAGTGGCTTTTATTACCCCTTCTTTTGACCCTGAGAGAATTCAAGCCCAGTGACCTTGCCTTAGCCAGAGCATTACTATTGCATGGGTATATGACTGTAAACCTCAGAGACTTGAAAGAAGAGATTGGAAGAGAACTAAACTGGAGGAGAACTAGATTGGAGGACTAGAAGAGAGAACTAGAAGAATGAGATGGAAGATGAGGAACAGCCAGATGGGGAAGAACTAGGTGGGTAAAAACGAGATGAGAAAGACCAAGATGGGGCAGAACTGAGATGAAGGAATTAAGATAGCACTTACAGGGAACAGCAGAAAGAGGTAGATAGTATCAGGCAATAAAGGAACCATTTATGAGAGCAGAAAAGAAGCTGTGTAGAGAGAGAATTGACTCAGAAACATAAAGTGTATGGACTAAAGAATTTCGTGTGTGTAGATTTATTAGCGTATCCCTCAGATTAATCCACCACTGATAGTGTCTCTTCTGGAACTCTGGGCGAAGGCTATCGAGGGGCTGGACCCCAATAGCTTTTGTTACTTATCTAACAGGATTTCAGACAACAGGAGGCCAGGTGGAGCAGACATCACTTGGGGCAAGGGTGGGGATGAGCACCTGAT